GAAGTGACTGGCTTACAAGCTTTCAAGAGGGAATCTAGATACAGAGGGAGTGGAGGAAGGTAGAATCTCCACTGCTCCACTGAGTGTATCTAATCTGTCTCGGTGTGGCTGATGAAAGGAAATGTGGATAAGTCTCTTGTGATACAATAGTGAATAATTGTTATCAGGACTGATTGTGAGGATTGGAAATGTAAAGGTAGACGTTTTGTAGCAAAAGGAGGGGAGTAATTAACTTTGCAGTGTAGGAGCGAAGGTCCCTGGGACCATCAAGGGAGAAGAGCTAAGAGCAGGACCCTATCCAGAGAAGCAGTGACACCAGAGATGGAGGCAGAGACAATGACGTGGAGAGTTGGAGTAGCTGGAGACTTTAGACCCAGAGAGGGAGAGAGTCTGTGTGCTGACAACCGGGGAGCAGGCTTGTAGAGTATACACTTTGGTTGGTTGATGATGCATGTAGGGGATTATAACCATGGAAATGAAACAATATAAGATATGATGAATGTAAAACTTATGTTTTCCCATGTAAACTGTCACGAAACATATTATAATGATTTTTCTGAATTCCTTCTCAGGCTTTTCCAAGGCCTGGCCTCCTAATAACATAGACTATTGAGCCAGATCTGTTGTGTTTGTATCTTGGCTCCATCACTTGCAAGTTATGTAACTTGGAATAAATTACTTAACTGTGCTTCAGCTTTTTCATCTATAAAGAGGATACTTATGGTGCCGAAAGATACACAGTGGATTGCTAACCACAGATTGGCAGTACAAACCAGTAACTCTTCGAAAACCATATATAGGGAGGGTTGCTATGAGTTGGAACTGATCAATGGCAATTAACAACACCATGGTAACCAGGGCTTATAATAGTTCATGCTGGGTTTCCAGTAAGTGTCCATTACTCTTCATCAACTCGATAAAATAAATTCATATTGAGTACTTTCAGTATCAGAAACTGTCCTAGGTGTTTGGGATCCATCAGTAGATAGACAAAAATAAATAACCCTGGCTTTGTGACTGTAAACTAATTAATAAGTGCTATGAAAGGAGCTCTGGTAGTGTAGTGGTTACGAATCAGGCTGTGAACTGCAAGGTCAGCAGCTCGAAGCTACCAGCTGTTCCGTGGGAGAAAGATGAGGCTTTCTGCTCCTGTAAAGATTTACAGCCTCAGAAACCCTGTACAGGATCGCTATGAGTCGGAACCGACTCCACGGCACATAACAACAACAACACGAAAGGAAAAAATAGACTCCTGGTCTCATGCTGTAGGATCAGCACTGGCTTAAAACCATAAGGTCTGCAGTTCAAATCCACCAGCTATTCCTTGGAAACCTATACAGGGTCTCTCTGAGTCGGAATTGACTGAACGGCACTTAACAACAACAACAACATGAAGAGGAAAAAATAGAGAAAAATAAGTAGGATCAATATTGCTATATGCTGAAAAGTTGGAGGTAGGATGGCAGTTTTCAGTTTTATAAAGTTAGGCCTAGCTGAAGGAGTCCTGGTATGGCACCATGGCACTGGACCTCAAGGTCTGTTTAAACCACAAGGTCAGTAGTTCAAACTCACTAGCTGTTCCTTGGAAACCTTATAAAGGGTTGCTATGAGTTGGGACCAACTAGACAGCACTTAATAACAAGGCCTAACTGAGAAGTCATTGATTTTTGGAAGAGGTCAGAGAATCAGACTTGTGGAGTACCTTAAGGCAAAGCGTGCAGTTAGTAAGGGCAGTGAGGGAATTCCTGGAGAAATAGGAATGGCAGGAAGACCAGTGTGGCCAGAAGAATGTGGATGAGGGGGCGAGGATGAGTAAACTGAACCAGAAAGATAAGAAGGATAAGATAGTAAGTATTTTAAGCTTAGCTGGTCAAGCAGTCTCAGCTATAACTAATTGAATCTACTCTTTATGGTAAAACAGCCTTATGGAAATATGGTGTGGCTGCCTACCAATAAAACTTTATTATGGACACAGAAGTTTGAATCTCATGTATCATGAAATATTCTTCTTTTTATTTATTTTAACCATTTGCAAATGCAAAACTAATTCTTAGATCACAGTACATACAGAAACAAGTGATGGACTGAATTTAAGGCTGCAGTTCATTGATCCCCCATGTAGGGTCTTGAGGGCCATTGTATCAAATTATTGTTGCTGTTTTTAGTGTTTCTACCATATAGGTTTGATCTCCCACACTTCTAATGCACAATTAAAATGCTAAAGGGAAAGGATACAAGCTAAGTTCAGTTAAGGTACTTGAAGACAAATTTATTTTGAGGAAAAAGTTTGTTTTGTCATGTTTTCATACAGGCAAACCATCTTTTGGGGAATCAGTAAATCTTGTTTTTTCTTTTTATTAATGGCCATTTTTTTTTGTTTTGCTTTTTCAAAAAAATATACTGTTGAATTAATCATTCTAAATACTTTAATATAATGGACAAGATGTAACCACTTCAAATTTTAAAATTTAAGCTAAATTATGACCTCTCGATTTTGAAAGGCCAAGGTATTTCATGAGAACATGCTTTATTCTCTTCCTACAACCTTTAAGAAATATAAGATGGTTATTTTATTGCATATACATTAATTTTTTTTTTTTTTTAATTTAACTCAGGTGTATTGCTAACTTTAGTATGTGGAGTTGTTGGTACTGGAAAAGGAAAACGTTTTCCTGAAGATTTAGCTCAGCAAAACTTAATTATATCGAACACAGAAGCACCTGGAGACGACAGGGTGGTAAGTGTTGTAGATTTTGAATGACTATTGATCTGTGAATAGCCTTCATTTCTTTAATTCATCCTTATGAGTTATTTTGAGATCTAGGAGCTAATTTATGTCTTAATGTGGGTCAGATTTTGTAGGCATATATATTTTGTCTGCTAATTAACAAGATGTTAGTAGCAGTTATTCAATTTCTTAAATTATGTTTATTGTTTTAATTATCTTTTTTCCACTTCATTGTTATGAGTTCATACACATAATTTAAAGTTATAAACGTTTACAATAATATTATTAATCTTGACTGCTCTCGTCTATTAGTGTTTCTGGGTATCATTTGCTTATGTAACTCTTTGGTTAGCTTGATACGCTCTGAAGTATTTGGCACTATACTGCTTGTTTTGTAGGAAGTACATAAAAAATTCTTACAAGGGCTGTTCTCCCCTCAAAGACATTTCAGTTTATATTTGGGAAGTAGATTGTTTTTCATCCTTTATAGAAAATATTAGTAGGAAAATGAAACCATTAGCACCAATTTGAAATGGTAGAATTTCTATTGATGTGGTAGCTACTGAAGTTGGGATCTCAATACTTTGGCATTTTCACTGTTAAGTGAACATCTTGGCTTCAGCATGCTTTCTGCTGGATAGGTGCCAAAAATATTGCATGAAGAATAATTAGCTCAAAGAGCTGAACTTTCTATTTATCTTTTAAGAAAGATTGAAGTTAATGAAGATTATTTTAAGGAATTAACTGTAACCAGGTTCTTACATTTACTAGTACAATCAAGAAAGCAAGTTCCAAACAAAATAGTGACTTCAGAGGGGATCTGATGGGCCAGTTAAATTCAAGGCAAACAGGTCAGCTAAGAAAGTATGGAGAGTATTTTTGAGGGGATCCCAAAAGAGTAATCTTAATAGATCTTCATGAAGGATACAGGACAGTCACAGGGACTCTTTATGAAGAAGTTTTTTTTTTTAAAGAAAAACTGCATTGGTTTTGAGTAAAAGGCAAGGAAAATTGCACTGAGAAATTTTTTTTCATTTCTTCTATTTTTCATCATGGCAATGTAGCTGCTCATTCTTTGAGAGTTCCAAGGGTGGTCTTAGGACAATTTAGTTGGGAAACTCTGTCCCATTCACCCTTCAGTTCTGATCTTACCCTACAGAGTTTTTCAGTTCCCCAAACTCAAGGAACATTTAAAAAGAACATGATTTGAGTCCCTCAAGGATGCAAAACCTGCTCTTTTGACATGGTGTAAAATTGAATAGTGCTGAATTCTTCAGGAAAGAGTTAAAGAAGTGGAAACCACCGTCAGAAGTGTGTAGACCTTGATGAAGGATATGTGGAAAAACTGTATCTTCACATTTTGGTATTTTTTGTCTAATAAAAATTTCTATGGTTTTGTACAGATACTTTTTGAGTTGTCCTCATGTTGTTGTGGTGGTCATCCCGTTAGTTTCGACTCACAGTGACCCTGGGTTTCTGAGGAGTGGTTGGTGGGTTTGAACCACTGTATGAGCATGTAATTTTGATGACTAATTTATGCATCAGGGAGATTTGATAGTCAGATTTTTTTAAAATAGAATTTTACTCTAGCAAGAACCTAAACAAAGCAATGTAGGGCAGTACTGCCACCAGATGACTACTTTTCTGTTCTCTTTTTCTAAGGCAGTGAGATTATATGCATGATCTTTTATAGATATATTTCAAGATCAAGGAGTCATCTGAACTCAAAATATCTTCCAGTTTAGTTATAGATTCTGCATATTAGTGGTTAAATATCAAAGTAGTTAAAAGATGACACAGTAAAGTCTGAGTTAATGTAGGTTGTTGAAGTTTAGTGCTGTTGAGTTGGTTCCAACTCACAGTAACCCTGTAGAGGCAGGTGGGTTTGAACGACTAACCTTGTGGTTAGCAGTCCAGTGTTTATCTGACAGTGCTACACATTATAAAAGTAAATTTTTTTATTAGAACGGACATAATGATATTCCTGATATAATGAAAATTTGACCTATGACCTAGAGGGTTGGTGTGAAGTCCCTGAATTAAGTTAATACTTAATCAAATCTTTTTCATGAAAAAAATCCCTTTGACTCTTAACCCTCCTCTTCTTTCTCCATATTTCTTTTTCTTTCATCTGTTTGAAAGAAAAAAAAAATTGTACTTAATTTTTCTGTGACTTTACTTCCCCTTTTCTCAGCATTTTCTGGAAATTATTTTGACAGAAGCCATCAGTTTTCATGTTTGATACTTAAAACCTATGAGTGCTTATTTTATTTGATCCCTTTTCAACAGCTATACTATTTTTGTTGTTGTTGTTTTGTTTAGATTTAGCATGTTGTCAGCCAGTTTATTACAGCTGTCTTCTAGCTAGGAGTCAGAATGACTCAAGAGCAATGAATGTGTGTGTGTGTGTGTGTGTGTGTGTGTGTTTTATTCACTTTGCATGACCGCATAGCCTTTCCTCTTTTGTTCTATTATTTTAAGACTGTTCTAATCCTGTCAGCTCTGTTCTCTTTATCTATGTGATACTTCTTGTAGTTTATATTCATTTTTTTTTTTTTCCCTGCCTTAGTCTACAGACTTTCCTGGGTGATCTTCTATAACTATGGTAACTGCCACACATGTTCCTCTTACTAGAATTATACCTTCAGCTCAGGTCCTTCATCTAACTGCCAGATTCATGTATTCTTACATTTACCCTCTCTACATCTTCCACATACTACATACTTCTCAAGTTTATTTCCAAAATTGAATTGCTTTTTTTTTTTTTACAAACGTGCCCTTCTCCCCTGATTTAATGAATTGGAATTGTATCATCTACCTAGTAGAAGAAAGGTGAGGCTTTCTGTACCCATAAAGATTTACAGTCCCAGAAACCATATACAGGGTTGCTATTAGTTGGAACCACCTTCACGGCACTGAACAACTACAACATGACGTGCCCAAGCAGAACACATAGGAATAATTCCTGCCTTTTCCTGTTGCTGCGTCTTCCAGCCAGCCACTAATAAATTCTGTATGGAGTTCATCTGCAACTTCCAACCATCACTACCAAGGTCTTTGTTATTTCTCACCTGGAGTAACTTAGTGACTCTCCCTCTGACCTCCATAACTATAAATTTGTCTTCTCTTTTTTTAAATTTCAAAAAATAATAAAACTTTGTATTGTGAGTCGGGTGAAGGTTTACTGAGCACATCACCAGTTTTCACACTGGACAATTCAAGCACATTTTGTTTTGTCTCATTGATTACAGTGCCCTCATGCAACATTGCTTATCACACCTTCCGGTGTTTCTTGTTTTCATTCTTCCTTCTTTCCTAATCCTTCTGAACTTTAACCTTGGGTAAATGATGCCCTTTTGATCTCAAATAGTTGATTATTCTAAGGTGTGTGTTTGTTGAAAATTGAGTCACGGGGGGTGAATTCAGCTTCAGACCTGCCTGGTGAATAAGGGTCTTAATATCATATTAAAAGACCAGGTGTACTGATCAGATCTAGTCTCAGGGTTCCATTAGTCTCAATCTGACCAGTAAACCTATTTTTTATATGATATTAAATTTTGTTCCACATCATAGTAGTTATGAATTGGGCTTTAAGCTGCAAGGTCAGCAGTTTGAAACTACTAGCTGTTCTGCAGGAGAAAGATGAGGCTTTCTGCTCCCGTAAAGATTTACAGCCTCAGAAACCCTGTACAGGGTCGCTATGAGTCAGAACCAACTCCACAGCACATAACCACAACAACATCTATAAGATTGATTTCTTATCTGTCTTCCACCTTATGGTTGAGAAGTCTACTTTTTAAAATATCTACTTCCCCACAGTTTTGTTTCTTTTTAAATTAAATATTTTAAAACTTTTTATTTTGAATTGTATGAAGGTTTACAGAGCAGATCAGTTTTCCACTCAATAGTTCATATACATTTCCTCCACTGTTATTAAAATTCTTCATTGACTCCCTATAGTCTCCTGTTAAAGTCAACATTTTTTCAGCACAGCCTCTTTGCATCCTTTCTAGCTTCATCTTTCTCTCTCCATCTCACCCTCACACTCTTGAGACTCTATGCACTACCAATTCTCAATTGGCCAAAGAACATACCCCCTTTGCCTCCATCTCCAGATTCTCATGCAGGCGGTGCATTTCTCTTCCTATTCCTGGTCTTCAGTCCTTCCAGTCAGAGATTCCCTTGGCTACTCCACTTTGTCTCAACTGGTTTGAATTGTAGTACTTTCTCTGTACTTCTCTAACATTTATAGTCTTCAGTATATAGCAGAGTGCCACACTTTTTAATGATTATCTCTTTTTCTGCCATATGATAATCTGAACTTCTTGAAGCCCCCAACGGGCCATCCCTATATGGGGAACATAAATGGAAACTGATAAATATTGATTGAATGAGCAAATGAATAAAAATCATAGTATTCTCTCTTTCTCTTGCCTTCTTTGACTGTGTCTGGAGTTTGTTTTTCTCCCACCACATGTCATCTTATTTTATTTCAGTGCTCTGCCAATGGATTTATGACCCAGAGTGTCAACAACTCTAGCCAAGGCTTTTGTGGCACCATGGGATCAGGAATGAAAAATGGCGGACAAGAAACCATTGAAATGATGAAAGGACACCAAACCTTGGAATCCTGCCGTGGAGCAGGGCATCATCACACCTTGGAATCGTGTAAGGGAGGTGGACACCACACACTGGATTCCAGAGGAGGACATGTAGAAACAGACAACTGCAGATACACTTACTCAGAGTGGCATAATTTTACACAACCCCGTCTTGGTGAAGTGAGTTTGCATAACTCTTTTGACTTCAAAGTTTAAATGTTCAAGTGGGAACATTAGAAAATTCAGATGTACAGATACTTTCAGTTACCACTTTTCCATATTCTTTGTTGTATTCTTTCTCTTTCTTACTCTCTGACTTTCTCTTTCTCATTTGTTTTCTTGTTCTCTGATTTTGCTATACTACTTAATTTAAAAGAGGTTTTCTTTCAACTGTGATATTTCACATAATTTCTAAAACCCCATAAAAATTGGATATTTCTAATATACCTCATTCAACTACATTTTATTTTTAGGTATGTTTTTTTCTCATGAACACTTTCCTCATGAACATGAAGAAAATTTCTAGTCTTTCATAATCAGAAAACTTCCCAGAGCAAATATACATTTCTATCTGGAAACACAAGCATCTTTATATAACTCTAGGATGCCTATTAAATAATATGATTATTATGAATAATTTTAATGTATAAAGCACCATGCTTTATTAAAAAAAATCAAGTATTTTTATTCAGAGGAAAGCAAGAATGTGAAAGAAAAGAAGGATTAAATAATGGATTATCAGTGTTGGAAGCACATCAAGATCCTTTGGGAAACTTGTAAAGAATACTAATGACTGTGCTACACCCAGAATTATTCTGATTCAATTGGTCTGTGTTTTGTTTTTGTTTTTTTTCACATAAAACTTTTTCAAGTGATTTAAGTGTAAAGTTAGGAAAGACAATTACTGGGTTAAATATTCTTTCTGGTATTAAGATTTTCACTTCTTTTATCAGAGGATACCAGTGCCCCTGTAGCATAACTACTGGACTTGAAGCCTTTAATCCTGATGCATACCACAAGTTGCTGTGTGGCATCAATTCTGACTAATGTTGATTCTTGTGTGTTAGAGTAGAACTGTTTGAAAGTAGATCACCAAGATTTTCCTCCAAAATCCATTAGGTGGACTTGAGTCTCCAGCCTTTCAGTAAGCAGTGAATTTACTGACAGTTTGCACCACCCAGAGACTATAGGTCTGTTATAAAATGATAACATTCTCTGACATGGCTGTATCTTATCACATGTCCTGAGCATATGTTTTTTTTTGCCGTGTTCAAATGTGAATCCTTTTCTTGTTTCTAAACAGTTGGTATTCATGTACTATCAGGCTTCTATGAGTTCTCTTGATGCACATCAAGTAATAAAGTATAATAGAAGCCAAGCAAATAAGCTCCAGTGTAGAGAAGTAGTGAGTACTGAGGTGAGAAAAAGGAGAAGTCACAGTTTGACAATTTGTTAGAGAAACAACTCATATACAGTAATGATGGAATATGTAGCCGCATGCTTATAAATCCAGTTTCTACAGAGTGTTTTTATGGTGATTTTTAAAGTGTTGTCAAATTGGGTGTGTATGTATGTGCACTTCTCTATTTTCTCACGTTTTAACTATCTTGAAAACTTGATTCTGAAGCCAATGTAATAATTCTTATCTGCTTTATAGGTGCATCACTTTTACATACTACTAGTAAAATAATAATAATAATGGCATTGGCTGACAGTCAATGTACATTTACTTACGTGCTGGGCATAATAATATTTTTCATGCATCATTATTTCAATATTTAATTTCATCATTAAATGATCACTGTTTGTATTCCCATCTTAGAGATAAGGGAAGCAAGACTTAAGTATGCGTATTAACTTCCCCAAAGATATACCATTAGTTGGTAAAGTGAGAACTATGACCCAGTTCATGACCAAGGTCAAATTCCTAATCATGACTAGCTTGGTTGCTAAGCATATAATTTAGAGATAAACTTTAGTGACAACTTAAATTAAAATTTCTATGTCTAATTTTTATTTGTACATATTACTAGAAATATAAAATGTACTTTTATGGTATGGTTGTGATATAGACCAATCATGTGCATTTTTTGTATGTAGGAATCCATTAGAGGACACACTGATTAAAAATTAGACATAAAAGGTAAATAAAAAATATAAATTTTCTGTTCATATGTTTGTGTGGTTAAAACAGTAATACAATCCATTTTCTTACTTTACAGAAATTGAACCTATATAATCAAAATGAAGACCATATGCGATCTGAAGATTATGTCCTTACATATAACTATGAAGGACGAGGCTCTCCAGCTGGGTCTGTAGGCTGCTGCAGTGAAAAACAGGAAGAAGATGGACTTGACTTCTTAAATAATTTGGAGCCTAAATTTACTACACTAGCAGAAACATGCATAGAGAGATAATGTCACTGTGCTGCAATTGTACCTGCATCTGTCAGACATTTTGGAGGCTCCCAAAAGGGGAATGTTTTAAAATTCAATTTTTATAGATACACACGTACACACATATATTTACTATATATCAGATTTTTCTAAATTTTGAATTTTGTTATTTACAAATTTGTATATTTAAAGCAAATTATTGCTGATCTTCAAGATGTGCAAAATGTTCAAATAAATTTTGCCTTCTTTACTGCTGAGTATATAGTTGTTGTTGTTAGGTGCCATCAACAATTAGTTAATCTCATCATCTGTGCCATTGGAATTAAGGTCTATGCAGGACCTGTGCATCTTTAGATTTTTTTTTGACAAATATGTTGGGTTACTATTAGTCCACCAGTAGTTAAGTTATGCTTGATTGGATATTATAAAACTGATATCTGAGCTAGAAATTCTGATCTTGCTCCAGATATTGATGCAAATGGAATAGGAGTATATTGAACATTGTGATAAATTATGTTGCATTTTTTTCAGCTCTGAAAAATCAGTAACCCCACGAGTTGCCTACGAGTACTAGAATTTTATTTTCTTTCTGGATGGCAACAAGATTATGATGGCAACTACTTGGTTACACTAGCAAATTTTCAAAAATATACAGCCACAGTTTCAAAATACATCAAGAAAGTGCAGATGGAAAAGAATGTTTCTATGCTTTTGAATGTGATTTTATATTTTACTAAAGCTTTACAATGGGGAATAAGTTTGCTTATTCCTAAGAAACAAAACTATATTCACCATCTACCTAGTATGTTAATGAAAAAACAAAAACAAAAACAAAAACAAAACCCCAAGTTCTTCTCTTGCGATTGAATCTATGAGTCTTAACATCTTTTCTGAGATTCAGAGCTACTATTGCCAGTAGTGAAATTTATTTTAAAGAAAAATGCTTTTCTTCTCTTGAATGTTATTTTATATTCATTTGCCAGTTCAGCACATACTTTCTCTGAGTAGTACTTGTCTGCAGTTGGCATATACCATCCTTAGAGGAATTGTGATTATGACCACATACTCTACTGAGAGAGACCCCAGTCATAGTTATAAGTAGGAATGAAGGATGAGCATGAATTTCCATTTAATAGTCTTTTCAAAAGTAATATTAGTCATTATTAAAGCAGGTAAATATTCTGAATTCTGTAAAAAAAAAAAAATCAAAAAAGTACAGAGACACTGAACACTCAGCACAATTTAATAATTCCCAAGATGCTGCCTAAATTTAATGCTTTTCAAATTAGTTCATGTGGTATAATCCCTTATAGGTGGTGGTGGTGGTTATGTGCTGTGGAGTAGGTTCCGACTCATAGTAACCCTGTACAGGGTTTCCAAGGCTGTAAATCTTTACAGGAGCAGAAAGCCTCATCTTTCTCCTGCGGAATAGCTGGTAGTTTCGAACAGCTGACCTTGAGGTTTGCAGCCCAATTTGTAACCACTACACTACTAGAGCTCCTTAATCCCTTGTAGAATTCCCCCCAAAAAGGATATTTAAAGTTAAAATAATGGATGTCTATTTTTTATATATAAATCTGACAGTTCAAAAACAGACAAGAAATATTAGACATCATTGTTATAGGAAATTTTAGGAGAGAAACAATTAAGACTAAATTAAATTAATATTTTTGTTTAATAATGAAGAATTGGCACCAACTCTCCCTTCTCATTCCTCCTGCCTCACACACAAATGCTTCATTTGACTTTGGAAGTTGGAGGCAATGTGTTTTGAAATAGTCTCTGGAGTGGTAATTTTCTGTAGGAATAGAGTTTACTATCAAAACATTTAATGCACTATTTTAAATGAAATGAAAACAAAGGAGAAATAGAATTTAAAATGAGGCTGGGATCTAGTTTACCCTACAACAGGAATCCAGGGATTCAAAGGAGAGAATCTCTCATTCCAAACTGCTTTATGATAACAACTTACCAGAAAATAGTTGATGCACATGTGTGCAACTTGTTTAAAATTGTATGTAGCCAAACAAAACTTCAGGAGCTTTGGCAACACAGTGAGTGGTTAAATGTTTGGCTGTTAAAACAGAGCAAGAGCCTTTCCCTAGAGCTGACACTCCTAATTTGAACATCTAGCCTTATACACTATGAGAGAAAGCACTTGTGTTTTGCTAAAACCAAAACAGTGATCTGCTGATAACCGAATAGTCTGGCAGTTTAAACCCATCGCTCCATGGGTGAAAGATATGGCAGTCTGCTCCCATAAAAATCACCCTAAGTGGCATTTCTACTATTATGTACAGGGTCGCTGTGAGTCGGAACTGACTCGATGGCAGTGAGTTGTTGATGTTTTGTTTTGTTTCCTTAAGTGAAACTTTCTTAGTTTCCGTGGGAAGAAAAGACAGTACCAGGTGGAGCAGTAAATTTGCTTTGCGGTCTACCGGAAAATTTCTGCATCCACAAATTAGCAGCAAGCTGGGGCTCATCAGAGCTAGTGTTCTCTGTTTTCTGATGGCAAGCTTCCAGAGATGAGGTATTTTTGTTGGGAGCTAATGCTAAACACATTTTGACCTTTCTCTGGTGAAAATAAACCCTCCACCACCATTTTGTTTTTCTTTCCTATCTACTACTTTATTTTTATTTAAGGTCAAATGACCATGTTCTCTCTGTCAGATTTGAGAGCATAAATGGAGCTAGAGGACAAATCTGGCTGAAGGATGCAATGGGAAATGGCGACCCTGAGTCCCAAGAATACAAACTTATCACGTCTTTCACTGTGTGTAAATTAATTTTTATCAAATTGCTTTCTTGAGAGAGGACATTTAAAATAACAGAAGTAGGCATTTTTATTTTATGATGAAAACATGTAGACATAATTTTGGGATAGTGGGCACTTTGGAGAGGGTAAACCCAAGCGAAGGTTCAGACAGAAGTACAAAAACCTAGCCTTCAAGGACTGAAGAAAGAGACCAGTAAGGGATCTGAGTGGTACCTAGGAAAGGTAGTATTGCTTCATAGTTTTCTGAAGGCCCTGCCCTGCTTAACTTTTCTCACGCCAGTGGCAACTGTCTTTGACTTTTGGTGAATTGTTGACCAATCCTTCATGCCTCACCTTATTTGGAGTGTGAAACTAGAGGACAAGAGTGGATAGCCTTAGTCAGAAGACATTTACAGGATGGGCCTGAACTGGTTGTGCAGAACAAACAATGAATACTTTATTCCTACTGTAACCCTCTGGATACAACAATAGAAGCTCTTTAATTAATGTGTATCTAAAATTCTTAGTTGATTCTAAATTTTCCTTTTTTTTCTAATTTGTCCATGAGAGATGTTTTTAGACATGTACTTTTGTAAGCATAATTTTCCTGTTTAAGTCATCTGATTTTTAATATAACCTTTTTTAACATGTAGTATTCTTAATGTGTGTAAGGTGAGAATTAAGGTATTTTAGTGTTCAAGTAAATATCTTTCCAAAGCTTACATTTTTTTTTTTCCAGTGAATGAGCTTGAATTTTTATATACTATTTTTTCTTAATTTTTATAAGGAAATAATTAACTGTCAAAAATGCAATGGGGTTTGCTTTGTAGTGTTTTAAAACAGACTTTAATTTTTCTATTAAAACAAGCTACTTTGCTTTTAAAGAAACTTGGCAGGTTAAAATTAGCAAAGATGGGATGTGGAAAGTCATATTAACAGGTATTGGATGCAATAAAACATTTAAACTAGTTACTTACTTGCCTTTGATGTATTTAAAGACTAAACAATTTCAAGGTGATCGTGTTGCAAAATTGCACTTACTGTAAATAGAGACCTTCAGAAACATCTTAACTGAACTACTATTTTAGAATAGATCACTATTTTGGGCTACAAATTTTCAAAGTAGATCAGTAGGTAGATATATGTGTGTGTGTGTGTGTGTATCTATGTAGATAATGCTGTTGTTGTTAAATGCTGTTGAATCGATTCTGACCCATAGCAACCCTGTATAGGGTTTCTAAGGAGCAGCTGGTGAGCTTGAACCACTGACTTTTCAGTTCAAATGACTTTGCGGTCTGATGCATTAGCCCCACAGCACCACACCAGGACTCCCATAATTTTGACTGGCTATAACAGAAGTGGTTGTAACTGCAGAGTGTTCCACAAACAATAAATGGATACACACTTCTTATTGGAAGGAACAGTGTAGTTAAGGGAAAACATTGTGAACTTAAAAAAAGCAAAACCAAAAGGAAGTGGTATTCCAGTCTTCTTCTGCCATTCACACACAGGGCATGTGACCTTTGAGCTTTAATCATGATATGATCCAACTGAATAAAATGTATCATGTATTGCATAGTGTAGCTTTTCCCTATGGGTATGGACACAGCCCTACAAATGGCTATTTCAGAGGAGTCCTGATGGTGCTGCGGGTCAATGCGCCAGACTGCAAAGCCATTTGAACTGCAAGGTCGGTGGTTCAAGTTCACCAGCTGCTCCTCAGAAACCCTCTACAGGGTCACTATGGGTCAAAACCGACTCCACGGCACTCAACAACAACATCAAAAGACTTAAATTTTAACATCATTTGACCACAATTCTTGGAACTTTAATTGTGACCATACTTTTTTATGTGTAAATATTTTATTTCAAGTGTGTTCATTGAATTTTTTGTGTGTAACAGCATAACATTGGATAAATTTCAAATGTTCAGAAGTGTTGATTTGGTTAAATACTGAGTCAAAGTGATTGACAAGTGTAAACTCTAGAGCTAGACTTCTTAGATTTGAATCACACTTACTATTTGTGTGACCTTGAAAAGATTCTTTGAAAAGGGAGAATATCTACCTCATGAGTTTGTTGGGGGAGAAGTCAGTGTAGAGCACATGAACCTGGTGGTATCACGTACAGTTAGTAAACCCTTGTAAGTGGAGGTTCTATTGACAATAAAATTACATTGTTATGTGCACTACAACACGCTAACCTCTTTTTAAGGAACAAAAATTAGTACAGGAGAAAACAATAAAACCAAAGCAGATTCTTTCCA